AGTGAGACAAGTGGCTATGTACGTGTCGAGGAAGACACTACCATCTGTCACATAGAAAACAACTGGCCATGATAGGGCACATTTGACCTGTTTTGGGCTGGACTGCACCCACCAAAAAAAAAAAAAACCTCCCGAAAGACATTGTCATGAAAGTTGACATGGAAGCGTAGGTGGTAGAAAGCTTAAAAAAGGAATGGTTGAACGAGTGTTATTGCAAGCGATGATTTTTTTCATAGAAAAAAAAGCATTCGTCGGCGGTCAACAGTGACTTTTTATGTTTTTGTTTTTTTTTTTTTTTACAACAAAAACCAAAAAAAAACACCTACCTGCCCTGAAGAGAAAAAGTCATTGCCGCCCCTTGTTAAGTCACAAAGTAACTGTGACCCATGACAGTTTTGGGAAAGCTGAGTTCAATTTCACAGGCAACACATTTGTTGAATAATAAAAAAATAAAAAATCATAACTAGAATCTGTTCGTCAAAGTGAAGTAGGCTTGAAAATCTCAAGAAACAAACACATCATGCCACCATCCAAAGAAATTCTAGAGGAAATTAGAAAAAAACAATATTAAACTCTATCAGCCAGGAAAAGCCATTTCCAAGACTCTGGTTACACCCAGGAGTATTGACCAGCTAAAATTACTCCAAGAGTGCGATGACGACGCATACATGAAGTCGTAAAACAACCTAGAACAATATACAAAAAAATTCCAGAACTCGCTGACCTCAGTTCAAGTCAATGTCCACGACTCTAGCATAAGTAAGACACTGGCCAAAAATGGCCTCCAAGGGAGAGTTCCGAGGCAAAAACCACTGCTGTCCAAAATGAACACAAAAATCAGGAAGAGGACAAATACTTTTATACGGCACTGTTTTATTGGCTAAATTATTGTTTTTACACGCAAAACTTTATAAAATGGACTTCAGCTGCAAATATTGGAGAATATCTGAATTCATTAGACCGAAGTTTACCCTGAGATCGTGAAAGTTAAGCATTTCTCAGCTATTCTTAAGTGTATGACCCAGTTCAGCAATATTTTCCCTCGCTATGCCTCATTGTTGATTGGATTCCCACCAGCCATGAATAATAAACTTACTCATAAAGGGCAGGAAGTTGTCTGTGTATTGCGCTAGCTATTTTACATGAGAATAATATAACACGTTTTTTTATATGCCTAACAGATTTAGGGTGATGCCAAAAAGAAGCGAAGGAAACATTTTTGCAGCTCTCAATCACAATGTCCTGCTCCAGCCATCTCCAGCCACCTAAATGTACTTCATCACTCTGATAAGCCCAGGACAGTGGGTATACACCATTATTTGCAAACTAATATGCACTGTAAAGCCTATATAATGTCGGCTTCACAGTGCAGAAGTGCGGGGTTCGATTCCGGCTCTGGCTTCATTGTGTGGTGTTTGCATGTTCTCCCTGTGCCTGTGTGGGTTTTCTCCGAGTACTCCAGTTTCCTCCCACATTCCAAAAACATGCATGGCAGGCTGATTGACCACTCAAAATTGTCCCTAGGTGTGAGAGCAGATGGTTATTCATTTTTGTGAGCCCTGCAATTGGCTGGCAATCAGTTCAGTGTGTACCCAGCCTACTGCCGGAATACAGCTGGGATAGGCTCCAGCATGCCCGCGACCCTTGTGAGGATAATCCATCCATCCATCCATCCATTTTCTGTTCGGCTTTATCGAACAAGCTATGTTCAGTCAGCCTGCCATGCATGTTTTTGGAATGTGGGAGGAAACCGGAGTACCCGGAGAAAACCCACGCAGGCCCGGGGAGAAAATGCAAACTCCACACAGGGAGGCCGGAGCCGGGATCAAACCCATGACCTCTGCACTGTGAGGTCGACGCGCTAACTCACTGGGGGAGCAGGGCGCCTTGTGAGGATAATCAGATGAAAAAAAAAAGTGTGTGTGGTTTGTGTGTGTGTGTGTGTGTGTGTGTGTGTGTGTGCATGTGCGTGTGTGTGATGTCATATCATTGTGACATCATAGGGCAGAACAGATAGAGCCCAAATACAGTATATACAGCATTTTCAAAATTAGGACATTTTTCCAGCAAATAGTTAAGAATAAAGTTCCACAGGGGGTTAAATAAGGCACAGAGTTGAAAGTGTGTGGCAAAAGTTGAGGTTTATGGTCCGGAAATGACGGTACTCGACCAACCTCTGCCCATCACTTAATAATATTGTTATGCCGTTGCCATTGCATAACACAATGCAAACTCAACCTCATTAATAAGAACAGTCAATCTTTAGTTTTCAACAGGCCCAGTTTTACTGTAATGGTTTGCAAAATGTAATTGGACAAGGGGTGCATGACTGGGCTGTAATTTGTTATTTTGGTTATTGTTGTTCTCCCAGAGATTCATTGCACTGCCTAGCCCCACAGGACACAACCAAAAATAAGGCTGGCAAAGGGATCATGCTAAGAAACGGAATGTTAAGAATGTGCTTGAGATGCATCACACGACAAAGAAAGACGGCCAAGACAAAGGTCAGGTTAAAAGTGGTAATGTTTAAAGAATGCGGTCCCAGAAGGAAGATGGCAAGGATACACCAATGAATTTGGAGCCAAAAGTTATGCCTTACTTGGTCACATTTGACGAGATTTGAAAATGAAAAAAAACATGGCTGTTATGTGGCAAATAATCGGATTCAAACGCAATGTGAAATATTCATTGTGTGTTCAGTTCCAGTGCCCATTTTGGCAGACAAAATGGTGAAATATGACGCCTGTGAACATCACTCAAATGTGGCCTCATTACTCTGACATCTGTAGAGAATATTAGCAGACATGGAAAAATAACTACCAGTTACACCTGAATCAGACAGAAGTCAGTCAAGATGACAACAAAGACTGGAGTAAGCACAGCTATCATTTGCTCTGGAACTTCTGTAAAGCTAATTACACATGTTGTGTATAATTACAGGGCAATATCCTTCCAGGGGATGGACTTTTTCATATTATGGAAGCATGTTCTGCATTTGTAATGTGGCATTTCAGATGGAGATTTAAAAGGATGTGAGGATACCTGCTGTCTGATCTTTAAGACAGCCTGATTTTGAAGCAAAAGGATTAACCATCTAAAACACCTTTGACTGGGATGATACAACAGGAAAATGCATAAAATTGAAATCATCACTCTGTGTGTGCGTGTAGGTGTGTGTGTACATATGAATGTGTGTGCATGTAAGTGTGTGTATACATGAACAAAAAAGAGGCCAACCAACAACCTGTATAATAGTTGCTTCTATGCCATCATTTGATGGAGACGTCTGCGAACGATGACGTCACGCCATGAACGTGTGTCACAAATGCACCGTCTGCTTGTCAGAATTATTACTATCACCATAAATGTTCTCTTAATACTCTATGTTTGAAGTGGAATTGAATTAACGTCGAATAACAACATGGTTACGCTTCATAACTTTGCAGATGTGCTGGCGGTCATATAACCTGTGACTGGTTGCCATGACAGACATCTACAGTCGAATAGGTTATGTGGTTAATGGGCTGTGTCTTATATTTGCTATCTTTTGGTACTCAAAGCGCTTCACATTGTTTTCTCATTTATCTACTGATGACGCTGCATCAAGAGCAACTATGGGCTCAGCATCTTGCTCAAGGACACCTTGACATGGTTGCAATATCGAACCCCCAACCTCCGGGTTGGGAGACAACCACTCCACGACTGAGTTACGTCATCCGCTATGTATGTGTGTTTATTTGCAAATAAAAATGTATGGTAATGGTTTTTCTGGCAAATCTCTGTGGAATTATTTACTTTGAGAATATTTTATAACCAGGTACTTGCGGTTTGGGTCACGTAACCCGAATGGAGAGTCAGACCGCTGGAGAGAGAGACAATAGCGTTATGTTGTGTGATGAACCTTTATGATCTTCAATTTATCTACTACCAGGTTCTAAGGGGCACACTGTATGTTTTGTTTATTTATTGAATGCAGGAATCAAATACATGATTGTAAATATTGATTGCAAATTCTATCAAATATCTTTGTTTTTCAGAAGTGTTCCATAATTGACTAGCAATAAAAAAACGATTGTCGACATCAGTACGAATGTGTGATGTGACATGTTCTTGACGGCCTTTGGCTGTCACCGCCATGAAGAACAAGAAGAAGAAGATCTTACGATCCTAAAATAGTGGTGACAAACTAATCTAGCGATGATAGATGTGCAGTTGGAATAACAATGACGGACTGGAGGACTAGCTGATGGTCCTAAAATAGCGGTGACGAACTGTTTTTTAGTAATGACGGAAGGCTGGTTAAAATAACAACGCTGGACAGACGGACGGTCCTACAATAGCTGTGATCGAAGAGTGTTTAAAACAACAATGACACACTGACATTACACTTTTGGTTTGGCTTCAAATAACCACGGACTGACAATGATGGACGGGTGCCTCGAAGGCTGCAAAATTTTAAAAGAAGGAGTGGCAAAATTTACTGACACACCCACCTCTAACAGAATTCAGGAAGTATGTTCACAGCATTATGATTGTTTATCTTGTCATTGTTTTTTTTTTATTAATTTGTATTGATCAGACATTTTTTGCTGTCTTTGCCAGCGACATATATTGACAGCCAAAACATGGAAAATGTTCTCCCATTGGATGGCAAAAAGCTCAATTAACATGTGTACCCAAATGTTGGCATTCATACAAAAGAATAAGTTGTGGTTGCTTTCCTATATATGAGCCATGTTTTTAATTTAAGACCAGAGGAAGCAAATGTGTGACTAAACTGGGACACGGTCATTGTTTCAGTTTTCAGATTTTCCTTGGTATTTTTGTTTCAATATTAGTCTCTGATCTCATTGTTCATCTTAGATGTCAAAACGAAAGGTTTTCGGTCCACAGAATATGTTGACCTCACTGTTCCAATAATTTTGGAGTGAAGTTTATAAACAAAGTACCAGTGCAATCTCTGAATTTTTACGCAAATACGCCACCATAATCAGTCTTACCTGCCAAAAGGGACTGAAAGTATTGCACTTTACTGCAGGCCAAAACTAATGGATGGTTGGAGTTGAAGGGTGGCTGCAGCTCATTCCACTGTAGGGTTCTGTTTGGAATACAAAAAAAAACCACAATGAACATGACTGTCTCATTTTATATTTTCTTAAGACTAAGAAAATTAAAGTAAATAAATATATAAATAAATTGATAACTAAATAGTGTCACCTTGCTAAAGTCCAGCATGCCCTCGGGGAAGTACAAAGTTCCAAAGCAGTGTCATCGCTTATCTTTTGAGCAGTGCTTATTGGCCGAGGTTCCAGAACATGCTCTACCAAGTTACCATAGCAGCTGATGATGTACAGTGAGTCGACAATGCTTTGCCTTGACTGATCTGAAAACAAGATGAAAAACAACGTATAAAAAGCAATGTGTCATGCTTTTTTTTGTTCGTGTTTGGTTTCCAGCTGGAGTGCACGGCGTTCCCTCCAGCGATGCAGCTGTTTTGCTTTGTAATCAACTTCTGGGACTACTTAAGTCTTATTTGCTGTCAAGTCGCTGTCTGATTATTCACCTTGCTCATGTTCCACGTACCAAGTGCAATTCTCTCGATGCTCAAGTACTCGTTCTCCATTTTTGCCATAGCCTTAATTTGTTGTTGTTAACTTTCATAGTTATAGTGTAGTTTGTTTTTTTTGTTTCTCTCGCCATTGGATTTCCTTTTGACAAACTACGTTGTTCATTTTTTCCTTGCCTTGTGCATGCATTTTTCGTGATTCAAGGTTTTCTTTTTCACAAGCATTGCATGAAATAGACCTTTCAAGAAAAACTGTGTATGCCGCATATTATGCAGAGTGGGCTTGGTGCGTGGGAATCTCCCATTGAGATAAATCCATATTTTAAATTGAACTCCTGATACTGTCTATTAAATGTAGCCTTCTTTTTCTTGAAAGTCGTAGGCTCCTTTTCTGTCTCCTGGCTGGGCCTTTTCCCCTTCTCAAAGACATTTGTTTTTTACTCATTTTGCTATCTCCTGGGTTTGATTTTAGGGGTAACCTGTCACGTGACCGAGAGGCGCGCCTTGACGTACGGCAAGAGTGACATACTGTCGATGGATATAACAGAGAATTTAGGTAATTTTTCAAAATAAAACATCTTTCAGATTCCGAAATGAATAATACAGAAGTAATAAATAACTTTATTCTTTCTGTGCGGCCCGGTACCAAATGACCCACAGGCCGATACCAGTTCGTGCCCCGGAGGTTGGGGACTGCTGTGACAGAGGAGAGAGACATTTTAAACAAGGAGCACAGCGGCCCTTGAGGACCAGAATTGTCCACCCCTGCTCTCGTGGTTGATGACTTGAAAATTATTATTTTGTTATTTGTGGTACTATTTAGGGAATGCTGAGAAAATATCTATAAAGATATTTATGGTATAATAATGTGGAATGCAGTGCAGTTAAAAAAATAAATAAATACATACATAAAAATGTGACAGCTTTCTGCCATCTTGATGTTTTCTATTCATATTACATGTAACGTAAGAGGCACGACATCACTTTTGATAAGTGCGCTTGTGAGTCAAGAGTAAACCTAACCTTTTTCTCTTTTGATGTTGGGGTTTGTGATGAACCATGATCGGGAAGAGGCGAAGATGGCAGCAATACAGAACTCCCCTCCACTGGACTTGCTTGGGGACATCTGAGGGGGTGGCTTACTTTTGCTTTGGGAGGAGCACAAAGAATAGTGGAAGGAAATCAATAACATATATGCCTAGAAGTAAATATTCCACTTTTGTTGCTACAAATTTCAAAACGTATAAACACATATATTCCTGGTACTGAATGTTCTCATACAGCACTCCTGCAGTAAAAGTCCAGGAGGTCCAGTTTCGTTCAGTTTTCCAGGTCCGTGTATGGAATATCAGTGTGCATGGCATGCATTGCAGTTTAATTAAAAAATGACATTGTCAGCTTACTGTTAATGGTTTGACGGTTATATAAAGCATACAGCACACATTTCCAATCAATTTTTTTCCACCTGCAGGATTACTATCCCAGCTTTTTTGGGAACTTGTTGCAATCTTAAAATTGTCAGTTAAGGATTTGCCCAAAACAATAACGTCGATCAGTTTGAACATAAAATGTCTCGTCGTTGTAGTGCCTTCAGTTAAACATAGGTTGAAAATGGGTTGCAAAGCATTGTACAGTGGTACCGCGACTTACGAACGTCGCTTCATATGAAATTTTCAAGTTACGAAATGCATCGACAGGAAAATATTGCCTCATGTTGCAAAAGAAATTTCAAGATACGAAAGGTAAAAAATACAATACGGGCTGCTACTGTGTCAGAGATATGCCTTGAACAAGTTGAACAAACAGACTCAGGAAGAGATTGTCTTTGCTGCCGGCAGGGAGCTCAGTTATCGATGAAGCCAATCAGTGTTCGCTTCTCCAACTGAAACTCAACTTTCTGTGTTGCATGCCGAACTTTTATTGGGAGCATATGCAAATTTCAAGTTACGTATCAGACAAAATTCTCTCTCGTTTGCAGGCCGCGCTTTCGTCCGGCCCTCCGATACGCCCCTCAGTAGACATTTTTAGACCAAGAAAACTCCCTGTACAAACAATTGGTACTTTGTTATTTCTCCACGAACTGAGACAACTGTAACTTTACTCAAGGACATTGTCATCACAGTGGGGGCAGATCCTGTATTATCAGTTACCTTCAATCACCTTCAATTTGGCCTTGATTCTCTGTGCTCCATTGTGTACAAGCTGCGAGAGCACACACGCCCGAGGTGAACCAAGCATACAACAAAATGAAACTTTTAAAGATGATAACTTTGAGTTTGTCTATTTTCCATCATACTCGGAGCTCTGAGTTTCCTGAAGGCAACATACTTATAGCTGTTCTGCCATTGGTTATACCCGAGCATCATCCTGGCATCCCATTGGCTAAGAGGTACCTGTACCGTATGTTTCTATGTGTGTAGATAGATAAATAGATAGATATGTATCTTTGCAGCGTCCTCGTCATTCTCGCCTTGGGCCATGAGGTGTTCCGATAGTTTTACGGAAATGTGAATCACCCAGAAAAAGTGTTCACCAGTCGGGCGATCGCTCACTATGCTGATGTTTGCTTTGGACATTTACGGATAATTGTTAAAAGCCATCAAAAGCAAATGTCCTTGGATCAGTTCTTTATAAAACACCAGGGAAAACTGCTTGTGAGAGAGAACATGAACTGAAGAAGGCAAAAAACGATGAGGACGCAGTTAAAAGTTAAATGACCATCATTTTTATTCTTTATTCTATGTTATTCTTTATGCTTTGTTTTTTTACATTATACAGAACTCTCACTTATTGTGCAATAATATAATTGTAACATGTATTTGTTACATATTGTGATGCATTTTTATGCTTTAGAAATATTTATTTCTGAATTTTGGGGGGCTTGGAATGGCATGTATATGGAAAATGCGTCTCTACTTCCAAAATTTTCTTGTTAAGAAATTTCTTCCAGAACCAATGGATTTCATAAGTAGAGGTATTACTGTATTCTGTTTTTATTTATATTGAACACAACTTTCCAACTTCAGTGGAAGTGGCTTCGTACAACACATTGGAAGTGTGTTCCCGTGTTTATTGTGCTTATCCAAATATAGTCATCGTGCTCTATAAACAATCAAGAGTAAATGGGACTTTTCCCAGCAGCAATTATGGTCCACTGAGAGTGAACTCTGTCCCTAAAAGCCTCGCAAAGCAAAACACTCAGCAAGACTTCTTAATTTGACAATTTTACTGCATTTCACTGAGCCCTCCCAATGATAGTGCTTCGATTGGTCTTGTTACATATCATTTGGAAAAAATGTTCCTTCCGGTGGTAGGGAACAACATTTTGCCCTGGAATGTTTACCCCTGGAGTGCAAGTTGACAAATGAACACAATCGTCAGTGTGATGGATGCATTTAGAAAACTGACAGAAATGGCAGTGGTGGGTGGACTACCCCTAACAGTGACCCTCGGCTATATTGAGCCTGTTGAAACTCTGAAGCCTCCCAGGCCCCCGGCTGAGTAAATGGACAGACATGGACATATAAAAAGTAGAAGGCTTTGGTGGAATCTCAGAGGCTTTATGATTTACAAGATGTCACACTGTTTGCTCATCAGTTTCTTGTACTGTTGAAGAAACTTTTGGATGACGTAGGGAAGTCATGGGAATGATGGTAATTAAAATCCTTCTCTCTCTTAGGGATGGGAATTGATAAGAATTTACTGATTCCAATTCCTTTATCGGCATTGCTCATCGATACAATTCCTCATGAATGAAATCATATCATATCATGCTATATGATATGATATGATGTCATTCATTTATATGATTACATTATATTTCATTTCACTCATTAGGATCTCCATTGGCTTTGGCAGATACCATCCCTATTCATCTTGGAGACCACTTCCATTATTCCATTCTTTAAAGTGCAATACATTAATACAAAAACACAAACAACAACCAACAAAAATGAAAAACAGCTTACATCAATCACAATAACAGCTTACATACAGTACGGGACCTAGTTCTCATTCATAATATTTCCGAGGTGTAGATCAAATATATGGTCAGATGGTTCAATGAATATCCACATATATAAACTTCATCCCAATATTTAACATTAATTGAAATGAAATAACAAAACAAAACAAACCAGAGCTGCGAGCAGGTATCAAGGGCCCTCACAGCCCTGGCAACGTTGGGGTATTGGCATGTTGGAGTTGGGTGTTTTTTAAAATAAAAGTACATCAGATTAAATGCTACTTCAATAAAATATGCCATCTACAAAATAGAAAATAAATGAGGCAAAATTTGAAAGAAAATCCAAAACAGCCAACTTCCTCTTAAGTTTAGAGAAGGGCCCCAGAGACTTTCTCGAGGTTGTTAAATATCCTTCTAACTTTTAGAAGATCTTAGTGAAACAACAAACTGGGGCTGCTTTGTGAAAAAAAAAACTGCAGAGGGCACAACTTGGCTTTTTTTTTCTATATACAGCACAATAAATCAATAAAATAGTGATTATTTTGCCAAGCAAGATATGTCATCACAAATGTTAAGACCATCAAAATCAGTAACATCTTTCTGAGCACCGGAGTAGCCGGAGAAAAAACCCACACAGGCAGGGTGAGAACATGCAAACTCCACACAGGAAGGAAGGAGCCGGGATCGAACCAACAACCTCTGCTCTGTGACGCCAATGCGCTAAGTACTCGTCCACTGGGCCACCCTAATAATAATACAGTAGTACTCATAATAATGACATTGCCACTTTGTACTGCTTTGAAAATCTGTTACAATGCTCTAACAGCCTAAGTTAGCTTATTAATATTTACCACCAAAGACTGTGAATATTAATTTTAGCGTCATTTACTCTAAAGGGTGTGAATTTGAGAAAATGCTCATATTTACTGGGTTCAGTAAAATTTTAAAAATACTTTTTGAGGATGACTGTCCAACAAGTGAGGCATCTCAAAGCTTTGACAGGAACATTATGCAACATTTCATTTCGCTAACTGTTTCAACCATTTTATAGTCACATACAGTACTGTTGATTAAGTGTCTCTCATGTCACCCTTGATTTCATATATTTTGTCAAATAAAATAGCAAAGTAGATGGCGTGGTTGTCGACTGGTTAGCACGTTTGCCACACAGTGCAGAGGTCATGGGTTCAATTCAGGCCCTGGCCTTCCTATGTGGAGTTTGCATGTTCTCTCCGTGCCAGTGTGGGTTTTCTCCAGGTACTCTGGTATCCTTTCACATTCCAGAAACATGCATAGCAGATTGATTTGAACGCTCTAAATGGATTGCTTTCCAAGATGGCACCCGAGTAGGCAGCCGCCGGCAAGCACTCTTTAAGAGCCTTGTGCTTTTTGTCGTTTTTTTGTTGTTTTTGTCTTTTGTTTTATCACATCGTGTTGTTGTTGCGTCGTGTGGACCTGATGTGGACTGTTTTCAGCATTTTTGGCCACGACATTCGTCAAAGAAGAAGAATCTGTGCTTAGTGTTCGTGCCTTCTTGGCAGCAGGCGTGTACCGGCACAGATTTTGATTGGGAGGAATGTCGGCACCATTTGACTGTCGTTACTAGACACCCCCGGGGCGCTTGTGTTTTGCACCTGAAATAGGCAGCATTTTCACAGCCCTGCTTTGTTCAGCGGACAGGTCGGTGCTTTTGGACAGTCTGCGGCTGGATGGATGCATGGGATGAGGAGCAGACGATGAGAAGAAAGGAGCGTCAGTGCAGAGCGCCAATGCTCATGGGGAACTGAGAGTCACGGCTTGGAATTGAAGCGGGTTTCCATGGGACAGGTTCCATCCATCCATATATTTTCTGTTCAGCTTTATCCTCACAAGGGTCGCGGGGAGTGCTGGAGCCCATCCCAGATGTCTTCGGGCAGTAGGCGGGGGACACCCTGAACCGGTTGCCAGCCAATTGCAGGGCACACAGAGACGAACAACAGTCCGTGCTCACACTCACACCTAGGGACAATTTAGAGCGTTCAATCAGCCTGCCATGCATGTTTTTGGAATGCGGGAGGAAACCGGAGTACCCGGAGAAAACCCACACAGGCCCGGGGAGAACATGCAAACTCCACACAGGGAGGCCGGAACTGGAATTGAACCTCTGCACTGTGAGGTCGACGCGCTAACCACTGGACCATCGGG